CTGCCCTGGATGGGGAGCTGGAGGTGGAGGTCCTCTCCAGGTGACCTCAGACCACGATGGGGCCACCTCTTCACCCCCACCCCCACCCCCACCCCCAGCAAGGAAGCCCTCGAAAGCACCTAGGGAGACACTGGATCCCGAGAGCACAGCATGTGTCCTCAGTCTGGGCCTCCGGGATGAGTGTGGCCGTGGCTGCAGAGCGGCTCAGGGCAGGTCAACTTCTGTGCTGACCTCTTCCTCAGAGGCGGCTCCTCCAGAAGGAAGTGGCCATCAGACCTTCTGTGACCTCTCCTTCCTCCCAGAAACTGGGGGGAACTTGCCTTGGCAAGATCTGGGCTGGACTGAGTGAGGCCAGAGGAAGGAAGATGGAGCCTGCAAGCTGGGATACGGCCTGAGTCAGTTAGCGGAGGATGGAGACAGACCCCTCCTGCCTTCCAGGCAGCAGGCCCAGGAGGGCTGGAGCCCTGGGGTGCCCGGGGTGGTCCGGGTAGCAGGTGTGCTGTGGCTTGGCTACCTCCCAGAAATAAATCGCTTAGTTCCCCTGTTTCCTGCCATCCGCTAAGATCTGTTGGCATCCTCTGATTTACTTCTGTAACTGGAGGAGAGGGACTGTCTGTTGGGAAGAGGTTCAAGAAGAGGAGCAGTCAGGAGGGAACAGGGCCTCCTCCCTCGTCCCTTGGCTGGCATTTGAGGCTCGGGCTTAGAGGTTGCAGCTAGCAGCAGGACAAGCTCTTCACACAGGTTTTGGGAAACTTAGGGTGCAAATTGTTATTACCTAGGACCCCTGTGCTGGGGAAGAGGCTGCTCTTCTGGCTCTAGCAGCCCAAGGACTGGGGCTCTGGGGGCATCAGGAGTCACCTCTTGGCCTGGACATTAGCTTCCCCACAAAGGTCAAAATCAGGGAGACACGGTACATGGTGGGAGCACTTCAAGTAGCCTCATGGCCTTTGGAAGGTTCTAGAGCAGGAGCAGACAAGACAGGTGGTCAGTGGTGATGGCACTGGTCAAGGTGGTCTGGGAGCAGCACAAATTCCCTTTGAGAGGTTCAGAGACCCTTTAGGTGGGACAGTAGGGTGACCTTTCAAGGGGCTTCAGCTTGAGGATCGTCTGACAGGGTAGGGACGGGAAAGAACAGGAATTTGGGAGTTTTGGCCAAAATGATACATTCTGAATCTAGGAGCTCATGAGGCCTGGTGACCTGTGGGCCTGGTGACCCACAGGGTTCTTATGAGAAAGAAATGGGATCACGTATTCCTAAGGAAGCTGAGGTTCCAGGTAAGGTCCTCAAATATTTGTCTTATTTCAACCACAGAAAAGTTGAGGTCCTTTGATTCATCTAGAAGAAGAATTCATCCAGAATAAGACTTCAACTAGGACAGGGCAGAACTGGGAAAAAAGAGGTAAGTAAGAGACCTTTCCTCCCAAGAGTTGGAGACCCACTCACTTCAACTCACTTCCTGTGTGGCCTCGGCTAAGTTGCTTAACCTCTCTGGGCCTCAGTTTGCTGATCTATGAAATGAGGGAGTCGGTTTAGCTCGCCTCTGAGGCCCCCTCCAACTCTTATCATCCAGTGGGCCTCTCTTTCACATCATCCGTGGGGAAACTGAGGCTCCAGAGGACAGGTCCACGGGGACTTGCCGCCTCTGCTCGGGCTTTTCAGGTTGGAACTTTCTCTACAGGTGCTTCAGGCTCTCAGGCCTGAAGTTCGGGGCCAGCCAGGAGTCATCTTCCACTCCCTGGCTGCCTTGTCAGCGTCCCTGTGAGACAGGGCAAATTGAGGATCCCTGCCGCAGGTCTTAAATCGGAACCTGGGCCATCAATCTCTCAGAACAGACTGAAATAACCGGGTGGGCGGCACAGACTGCCACCGCCTGGACAGTGAGGGATATTAAAAAGCTGAAACCTTGAGTCCCCAGATCCCTTAACCAATTTCCCCAAACCCCGGGGACCTGTGCACTGAAGGGAGAACTCATTTTAGGGCTCCCCACGAAGGTCTGGGGGCTCTGCTTCAGGAAGCCCCTGTGTCTGGGGGCTTTTGAAGGCCCCAACCCCTGCCACCGTCCTTTCCAGCCCATTCGACCTGCCACTCCCCCCGTAGGCACCCTCCCTAGAGTCAGGCTGGCAGTGGTGGGGCATCTAAATGGTTAGCAGGTAGAACCAACCACCCTGCTTGCTCAAATGCTGGCTCTGCTGCCCACCAGCTCTGCAAGCATGGGCAAGCTGTTTAACCAGTTTGGCTCTCAGTTTCCTCATCTCTGAAATGGGAATGCTCACATCTCCTTCACAGCGTTGTTCTGAGGATGAAACGGAATAATCCACACCAAGTAAATAATACTGTGCCCGGCACAGGGTAAGACCTTGAATGTTAGTCATTAAAGTTAACCTTCCTATATTATTCCACAAAGAAGCTCCATCCAGCGAGCCGCAGCTGCTTCTTACAGCCTCTCCTGCTCTTTTGCCTTTTTTACACCCTATCCACCCCTCAAGCCTCAGTTCAATGGCCTCTTCCTCCAGGAAGCCCTCCCTGAATGGTCCTCCGAGGCTCCATCTTCCTCCGACTTGCAGTGCTACATGTTTTGCACTCAAGTCACGTTTGTATCAACTGCTTTTGGCTCCTCCCTTGGGATCCAAATTCCCTGAGCAATGGCCTGTTTTCTCCCTCCTCTCTTCCTCTGTAGCGACTGCCACAGTGCTGTGCACACAGTAGGTGCTCACAAAACACTCATGCCTATCCACTGGGAGATTCCAGGAAATGAAACAGAATCCCCGTGTTCCCCGGACCAGGTCTTTTGTCTATTTTTAGAGTTTAAATAGTCTTCAAAAAAAAAAAAAAATCCGAATTCCACTCCGTCTTTCCATTACAACCCCACCAATCTTTTCATGTCGGCCAGAGGTACATTTCCTTCCTCTCCACTCGAAGCACACTAGAATTTGAAAAATGAGGCGCTGGATCTGAGACGGTGAGATAGAGGAGGTGCTCTCTAACCCCCCCAACCACTCCTGTCAGGCTGCAGACGGTGGGGAGGGATTAGCTCTGGGTGAAAGGGAAGGTCCTGATGGCTCAGCTCTGGGCTCTTGGAGACTGGTTTTCTAGAGGGATGAATGGGGTTTTGAAACACGGAAGCCCTTGCTCCTGAGAGGTCAGCGCTCCCACTGGGCATCCCAGGGCACTGCCACTCCTTGCGGGGGAGCACGTGGGGAGACAGGTCTGGTCAGCTTGAGGTGGAGAGGGAGGCTTGGGGCTACCATCCTCGCTGTGGCGGGAGGAGGGCGGGCCACAATGAGGCCGCAGCAGCTGAAGAACCCACTGGAAGATGACAGTGGATAACACCGGATCGCGACGGCTTGACAGGGATCCACTGCCAGACTGCCCGCCAGTGGCGGTGGGGGACTTTATCTAATTAGGAATTTGCAGTTGTGACCGAGATAAATGACTGTTTGGTTTCGGTGGGCCCCTGGGGGGCAGAGGCTTTCATACCATCTGGCTCTGGCGGAGAGAAGGTCTCAGTGGTCCGAATACTGAGGCCCTTAGAGGAGCGTAGAGGCCACATCCTTCTCTGGGTGACTGAGTTTCATGTTCATTTCTGGCTACCCTGAACCCCAGCCTGCCAGTAGCAGTAACGGCACCGTGCAGTTATTAAGCGCTCGGCAAGGGCTGAGAGCTTGGCACACATTTTACCACCTAGTGTTCTACAGCAGCCCGAGAGGTGTGGACTGGTATCTCCACCTTCTGGGGGAGGAAACTGAGGCGCAGAGAGGTTGCATCCTTCATGCACATACTCGCAGACTGTGGCCCAAGGGCTCCCACGCCAACCAATCAACCATGCTGTCTGTGGTTGGGTGAGGAGGCTTCCCTGGGTCGCCTGAAGTTTTCAAGTCACCCATGACTCTCTGGCTCCTGTCTGGCTATAACTGGAAATCAGTTTCAGAGATGGGTGGAGATGGAAGCTGACTGCCTTCTCTGGCCTCAGAAGCTGAGGAGTGACACAGGGTCCCATGGTGGCCAGCCCCTGCACAGTCAGAGATGGTGGCAGAGCTGCGCTTCCCTCTGTCCCCTCCAGCCCAGGGGCCACTGCTCCCAGGTACTCTCTGCCTGTTTGCCCTGCTTCTCCTACACTTCACTCTGAGAGGCCAGGGGTCCATTTGTCTTGTCACTAACGAGTTCCTGGTGTCCATGCAAGATGTGGCCTTCGGGAGATGCTCAGTCAATATTTGTGCAAAGAAGGAGAGGCCAAGGTGCTCAGCCTGCCTGCCGGCTCTGGGCTGTTCCCGCGGGTCTCCCTACATACGTACGGCAGGCAGCGGCTCCGGATTTCCACCTAGGAGCCCCAGCATCTGGCTGGCAGGACGGGTGCGGGTGGGGGCGGGGTGGAGGGCTGGCCTGGAAGAGGGTCCGCCAGCAAATGCACTTTAATGCCTGCCCTCCACCCCAAACACCCTGTGGACCCCGCCCAAGAGGTACCAACGGAGCAGGGGCAAACGATTCATTTCCACATCTGAGAAATAAAGGGGGTGGAGGGGCGTGACCTAGGGGTGTGTGCTGGGGTGTTGGTACCAAAAGATACAAAAAGGTTCCTGTTCTGGGTTCTGGGGTCCCGGGGCCAGGCTGGGGGCTGCAGGCGAACTTCTGGAGGTGGAGGAGCATTCAGGCCGAAGGCCCTCGGTGAGCGACCCCCCCGCCCCCCCGCACCGAGGTCGGGGTGGGGGTGAGTACAGAAAGTGGGGCCAATGGGTAGCCTGCGCCTTGGCTCGCCGGGCTCCCAAAATCCGGGTTGTGGGTGTGGCTCCCCCCGGGTTTGGATGGGTTGGCACAGGAACCGGCCTGCGGACGGGGGTGTCCCGAGGGCTGGTGGCTGGAGCAGCGCGGGGAACCGGAGCCGGCAGGGCGGCGCGGGGAGCGGGAGGGCGCGCGCCGGCGGGGTGGGGAAGAGCAAGGGGCGGGCGGCAGCAGAGGGGCGGGCGGCTTTTGGGGGGTGGAGCCCGGACCGCAGCGCCCGCCGCTAGCTCGGCGCCGTAGCCGCCGCCGCTGCTGCCCAGGGCTCGGGACGCAGCGCGGGCAGGCGCTCGGCGAGGTTCCGGCGCCCCGGGCTGCCGCGCTCTCGGTCCCGGCTCCCGGCCCCTGGCCCGGCGCCCCCGGGGTTCTCGCGCTCCGGTCCCCGACCCCGTACCCCGACCCGGAGAACGTTCTCAGCTGTCCAAGAGGTCCTGGGCTCGCGCCCCTGGGCCATGGAGAGGGGCCCGTGAGGGGCGCGCGGAGGCGGTGGAAGAGGAGGGAGGAGGGAGGCCGAGGACGAGGGCGCGGGAGGCGGAGGATGCCGCCGCCGCCGCCGCCGCCACCGCCGCCGCCCGCCGGCCCCCGGCGAGCCTGACTCCAGATCCCAGGATGGAGCCGGCGCTGGGCGCTGCAGCGGCTCTCGGTGCGCCCCCGACCAGGTACCGGCCGGGCCCGGCGGGCCCCGGGGCGGGAGGGAGCGGACACTCGCCGCAGCAGCCGGGAGGGGCGCGGGCGCGGTGGGAGACGCCCCTCTGCTCGGGGACAGTCGCTACGGGCGGTGCGGGGCGGGGGGAGGACAGCAGCTTGTCGGGCGCGGGAAGGGGCTTCCCAGGGCCGGCGGCGGGTGAGCGCCGCGATCGCCCTAGCCCTCCCCGCCCCCATTCGGGGAGGGCAGCAAACTTGAGTCGCTCGGCGGCCCCGAGGCGCCCGCTCCCCTCCGCTGCGGAGCGCACTCGGGGGCTGCCCGAGGCTCGGCGTCCCATATCCTGCCGGGCTTAGGGCTGCTGAGACCCCTGGAGACCCTGGGGTCCCCACGTCTGTACCAACTTTCCAAAACCACGCTGCACGCGGAGACGGGGGCAGTCGTCTGCTTCCTGCCCCCAGCCTCTGCCGCGCACCCGCACCCGCACCCACCACTCTGCGATGAACTGGTCTTGGAGGGGGAGGGGGGAACAGGGGCTGCTGGAAGGTGCCGACCTCCCACGGAAGCCAGAACCACCCGCCTGCTCTTCCCCTCCTGGAGAGCAGCCCCTCCCAGGCTCTGGGAACCCAGAGTGGCCCTGGCCGGGAAGCTAGGGGTTAAAAGGTAAGACCTAAAGGTAGCCCTCAGGTGGCACCTTGGCTTGATTTGCGAGGCTAAGGGTACCCTCCCCCCACCTCCCACCTCCATCCTGCGCCCGCCCCTTCCCAGGGTTACCGCTCCTCACCTCTGGTGCGGCTTTTCTCCTGATGGTCTTAAACACTGCTCCGAAGCTGGAGGCGTCTAGGGAGTCCAGGCGCCAGAGAATGAGCTTAGACTTTTGACAGAGAGGTGAAGGCAGCGGGTAGGGAGGTGGATGTCCAGAGGGTAGATAAGGACTAGAGGCAGAGGGGACCTGGGGTTGGGGGCGGGAGGTGGGACCCTGGCTGGGAGGGTAGCTGCTCTGGCCAGCCAGAGGAGCCCTAGGTGTAAGAGGCAAGCAGGTGGGGGCCCGAGGTACCAGGTACCTGCTTCAAGGGTTCCTCAACCCCTTGGGGTGGGGCTGGCTGCCCCAGGCAGAGACCTGACTTAAGAAGGGCAGCCCCCCGGCTCCCGTCCACAGCAGCCGGGGACACTTACAGGCAGTACGGTGACCCTGTTTCCTTCCCCGTCATGACTCACACACTGGATTCACCAGGGAGGTATCAAGCCTCCAATCTATTCTCCTCCCCTCCCTCCTGGATCTTCTGGGAGCTACTGGGGCCGGGAGGGGGTGGGTTTGCCCTGGGGCCTTAGCCCCCTGAGAGAGGCCCTGCAAACTTCCATTTCCCTGCTGCTGTCCTGATGTTGGCAGGTGAGGGGCTAGGCCAGGGCCATGGGCTGGGGCTGGGGGGTGGGGTGGGGTTGGGGAGTGAGAGGCTGTCTGTGCTAATGGTGTCCCCAATCCTGCTGAAGCTTTGAAATCCCAACCCCACCTCCTTCCTGGCACACACCGTTAACAACCGACCTCATCGCAAAGCGGAAGCACATTTTCCCCTTAAAATTCCAAATTTCCCTCTTTGCTGAGTATTGCCATGTTTTTGGCTGGAGGGTTCCTCTTCAGCATCTGAAGTCAAGCTCCTCTTGCTGACAAGCTTCCCTGCTGCGGGGCCACCTTTGCCATGGGCAGGTCCCCGTTAGTTAGAAGGGATGTGTTCTTCTAGGGCCCTAGTTCCCGAGGAGGAGTGTCCTGAGGGTGCTGATACAGTGGTGTGAGCATACCGGCCACATGTACACGCAGGAGGTGTGCATCTGTGCTCCACTGAGTGTGCAGGGGGCCCAGATGCCATGCTCTCACTGGGCCGGGAGAGGCTTGAACCTCCTTGCGCCCACCCCCCCACGGCCCCCCGCAGTTCCCCTTGCCCACACCCCTGTCTCCCTCCCTTGCCCACTGTGGGTCTCTCTTTACTTTTCCAACTCACTCTGCATTGGTGCCGGGAGAGAGCATTTGATATTCATAATCTGGTTCAGAGAAGGTCCCGAAGCCCTGAGTCACGGTATGGTTTCCATGGAAACAGACTTGTTCAGAGGACTCGGTGTATCGCGGCGGTGGTGGGGGAGAAGGGAAACATATAGTAAAAATCCAGGCTCCACAAGTGTGGTAGGAGTTGGACCAACTCCCTTCATGGGGAGCAGGGAGCGGCCGGGCAAGCCTCTGGGGTCCTTGTGGGAGGGGCTGCCTCTCCCCACCCACTGGGGTTACCCCCTCACCCCGGGAGCTGATCAGCTTCCTCTGTGGCTCTTGGCAGGTTCTGACTGCCACGGGCTTTCTGACTAGGTGCTAGGGCTCATGGCCACCAGTGTTTGCCTCAGTCTCCTCCTCTGTGAAATGGGAAGGTAAGAGCTCTTCACCCACCTCATAGGGCTGTGGTGAAGGGCAAATGCGTTAACCCGGGGAACACACTGAGGACACTGCCGTAGCGAGTGTTGAGTGAGCGCCTAATTCAGGGTGTTGGAAGGGCACGCCCCCCGGAGGTGCATTCACCTGGATCCACCCCTCTGCATCCGGCAAGATGGTCTTGACATCTGGCGGGGCTGGCCTCCTGCTTCATGTAAGAGCCTCCCCAGCAACCACCGGTACACCCCCCAGCTGGGATCCAGCCATCACTTTCTTCCTCCCACAGAGCACATGTTTAGGTGGCTGAGGGTCTGAGCACCGTTCGGGAGTTCTGGCTCCCGTTCAGACCCCACCTGCCTGGGAGGCTTGTGGGAACACATCCTCCCAAGTCCAGATGGCCGGGCAGCATCCTGCTTTGGCCCTCTGGAGCTCTGAAGATGGAGAGAGGGGACTGGAGCCGGGGTGACCTTCCCGGATCCTGGAGAGGTGGGTTCACCTGGCTGGAGAAGCATCTCCTGGTGATCCACTGAAGAGGAATCAGGAACTCTCCAGAAAGATAACAGATGCTGGCCTCCTCATCCCTGCAGGTTAGAAACTCTGCTGCTGAAGTGTGCCCAGAGTGCCCTACAAGTCTGGATTGGCTCTGGGCTCCAGCCCAGTAGGCTGGGAGACGGGCACCACCTTCCCACATCTGCTTACCCCAGCAACCCGCGCCTCTGGGCAGTGTCTGGGCAGTGGCTCGAGGCCACTCCGGGCTCCAGTGATGGCCCAGCCAGTCTCCCTCACCGGCCCGTCTTGCAGTTGCTGCCCTCACCTCCCTGGCCTGCAGACAACCCTTCCTCTTCTCCACGTCACTGGTCACTGTCCCCCTCCTTCCCTCCCATAAGGAGGGCGTCTGCTCCAAGCTCCCTAAAGGCAGTCCCTGCATCAGTACCAGCTCTCGGAGCTACAGCTCATCCTCCACACCTGCTTGCTCTTCCTTCTGTTTTACAGATGGGAAAACTGAGATCCCTGGGCTTTGCCAGTCAAAGCCATCACTCGAGCTGGCCTTGGCTGCCCCCACCCCCACCCCAGCCCTGGGGATGTCCTCCCCTCTTCCCTGACAGCTCCGGGTGGCCCCAGAATCCCCTGGCCCCCATCCCCCTCCATGCTGACAGTTTCCTGCCTAGGTTCTTCCCCCAGGTCTGTCTGGACCGCTTTGCCATCCTCATTGGTGTTCACAACACCTTCCGATTTAACACCCTCTGCAAATTTCATTAACGGACTGTTTACTCCCTCTCTCAGGATCGTTAATGAAGATGTTAGATAAGATCTGACCCAGCGGAGCTGGGTCTCGGCAGCCCTGCCTTCTCTCCCGGACTCTGTCCCTCAGCTCTTTCCCCCTGGGCTTGTCTCCTCCACCTGGGGCCCTTGGGATCTGCCCCTGCTTGCTTTCAGCCCCATGACAAGTGCTTAGGGCCAAGTCTGTTTGAATTAATTTTGTAAGATTACTTGAGGCGCTGTATCAAATGCTTTGCTAAAAATCAAGATATATTACCCTGCCTGCATTTCCTTCATCTACCAGTCTTGTAATTCTATCAAGAAAGTGATCAAGTTTGTCAGGCATGATTTGTTCTTTATAAATCCCCACGGTACTGCGTGGGGCACAGAGTTCCCGCGTTTTCTAAACGTTTAGAGATTCTCTCTTTGTGTTTGCTCCTTGATTAGAGCTGGAAGGCCATGGGCTGGGAATTGTCAGAAACGCTCATCTCTTCCTCTGGGACAGAGAACAGAGCACCATCCTCCCCTTCTCCGGGTCTCTGCTGGGGAAAATGAGTTGTTCAGCACCCACTGCGTCCTTGCGGGGTGCTGAGGGCCCCAAGTTGGGCATCCCCCACCCCAAGATGGGTGGGTGGGCAGAGGGCCTGGGGCCCTCCCTCGGGGATTCTGTAGGCAGATGAAGATGACAGACAAGTCTGGTGCTGACATTTCAAAGGTGCCGTGGAGTGAGTACCTTGCACAGTGCACTAAGAGCGTTACCCTAACATTAAGAGTGTCTCGTTTGTGATCTTATTTAAGGGAGGTGGGTGATCTCTCCTCTCCCTGGGTGCCTGGGAAAGTCCTGTGAGGGTAGGCCTGCCCTGGATCTCAGCCCTGTGGGTCTCAGCCTCTGCCGTGTTGCTCCTGACCTCTTAAGCATGCCTTAACAGGGTCAGGAAAATAGCTGGGGTGGTTCAGACCATGGGTTTTAGGAGGGGTCAGGGAAGGAAGGTACGTCTTTAGGGAGAAACTCAGACAGGTGAGGACTTGGCTGCGTACGCACCTCACACACAGGACCCTGTAACCTGCATCCGGCCCCTCCCCGGCCTCGTCTCAGCACACCGCTCCACCTCAGGGAGCCCCGGCCCCTCCCCTGTGAGATGGCTCCTCCGCGGAGCTGTTGCGGTCACGTCTTTTTCGGGAGGTCCCTGTTGACGTAGGGGCAGACACAGAGGTGCCCATCTGATTGTCACGGTACCTGTGAGTGGCTCTCTCCAACACTTCTCATCCAGGAGACAGACAACTGACAGACTGAACTGTCTGGCATCCTTGGGGCCAGCTGGGGGCTGGTGGTAAGTTCTGGGCTTAGCGGCCAGGGGGACCTTCTGGCCCTTGAGCCCAAACCCTCTGCCCCATTCCAGACTGTTCCAGGCCAGGTGGTAATCAAGACATTTTTGGGTGTCCTCTTGGCTGCATAGCATTTGGGCATTTCTGGCACTGCTGGCCATGAAACCACCCACTCCCCCACCTCTACTTGTCTAACCAGAGCTAGGGCCCCGGAGTCGGGGGCAGAGTGTGTTTTGGTTACTGTCTGTCCGGTGGGACATCGCCCTGCACCCTCCGCATGCTCGCACCGATATTTTTGTCTAATCTACTTGACGGGCTTCTCTTTGTCACTCAGCTGAGGA